TTATTTTATTCAGAGGCCTTGCTGTTGCCGTTTTTGAGAGTTTGGCCATTGAATTTCAGGAGAGTATTTCATTCCTTATTCCTGTATATCTGAAGAATCCACGCAGGAGGTCAAATTAATTAATTAGAGAAGATTACCTCTTTGCTGATCTAATGTATGCTTATTGCAACAGCAGGCAGATACAGACTGAAACGGATCTTAGTGCTGAATCTCAGGTTGTTTCAGACTGCTTGTGGGATTCCAGGAAAATGCTAACTCTGGGTACAGGCACTGGGAAACATGGTGGTTCTCTAGGGAAATTCAGATTAATTTGTACCAGCCTCCTAACAGATGCTGATCAAATATGTTGGACCAAAACTGGAGTGTCTAAAGTTAGACTAAGTACAGATTTAGGAGTCTTACTAAATGAAGAAATCCTGACGTATGTTATCTTCAGCTCCCATTTAACTTAGTGGGATTTGCATTTGATCAACAGCCTAAAAGGTCGGACATCTTTTAAATAGAAACACAATCTCAGTTTCAAAGACCAGGAAACTGTAGTTTAGGCTTTTAAGAGTCTTGCAATGTGTAGATATTGTCTAAAATTGATTGAGGAAGGGAGAGAGCGTGGTAAAACCAGTTGGTCTGCTTGAGTTTAGACTGGGTTTCTAACCAGATGTGGTAGGGGGCAGGGAGAAGGAGAAAACATGTTTTGCCACTTGGTTTTGTCCCAGATTAATTTTTTAAAAAATATTTAACTTGTTGCTTTTTGTTTCCTTAGATGTTATTACTAGAATGTATAGCCTGGTTATGGCCCAAGAAAACAAATTTCAAATATAGTATAAATAATATGTAATGCAAAAATACACATATTTTTGAGAAAATCCCATGTCATCATCTTGTCAGCAGAACTCTTTTGGCACATCTGTGTAACGTCATGCAAATTCTGTTGACTTCTGAGGTCAGTTTTTATATTGTCAATAGGTTGCAACATTTAAGAAGTAGCTTTAACTCTGCTGCTCCTGAGTGAGCAGCAGTTTTATTATGGCATGTATATACATTGTATATAAACATGCCAACTTCTAATGCTTTAGATGGACCTGGCAGCTTACCAGGCCTTTATACATTTTACTTAGTTTAAGCCTCCGGAGTATTCTCACATGTGTGAGACTATATTATATGATACGCATGTATACGAATATGCAATATAATTAAAATTAACTTTTTGCTCTATTTTAGATAGCCGTAGAATTATGGGTAGATTGACAAGATGTGCCAGTTTGACTCTAATATTCAGCTTTTCAAATATATTTTTCCTTTAACTTTGAAATACTGTAAATTCACACTAAATAGGGAGCCCTGTAGCGACACAGCAAAGAAATAAATTTGTTGAGGATAATATATATTATTAAAGACAGTCTATTTTTGGCAACTAATAAACAAGCTGGAGGAGTTGAAGAACAGAAGCCCTCATGACAAGGAGCAGCACAACAACAAAGATGAATGGAGCATCTTGCACCTGGGACAAGGTGGCTGCCCGTCGGGGCAGGCAGGCTGCCCGGGTAGCGGCTCTGCAGCAAAAGTACCGGGGAGTGCTGGTGAGCAACAAGCTGAGCTGTCAGTAACCCACCCTCACGGTAACAGCAGCAGACTGCAGCCTGGGCCGCGTTAGCAAGGGCGTAGCCAGCGTGAAGAGGGACCCATCTATTCACTACTTGTGTGACTGGATTGGGGTGGTGTTTAGCATGGAGAAGAGAAGGCTAAGGAGGAATCTGCAGGCTCTTGCAACCTAAAAGAGAGGGCCAGACTCTTTTCAGACATGCACAGCAAAAGGGGAAGAGGCAACGTCACAGATAGCATCAAGTGAATTTTGTTAAGAGAAAATTCTTCATCATGAGAGTGGCTTTTGAGCCCTGGAACTGGTTGCCCAGAGGTTGTGGAGTGTGTGTCCTTCAAGACTTTCAAAACTTGCTTTGGCAAGGCCCTGAGCCCTGATTGAACTTAAAAACTAGCTCTGTGTTAAACAAGTGTTTGGACTTGATGATTTCCAGGGATACTTTCCAAACTTTTTTCTTTTTTTTTTTCCTCCTGTGATTCTAAATCAAGCTGAAAGCAAGATTTAAGTTTTCTTGTAGAACGTCACTGACTTCTTAACGGGAATATGTAAACTGAATGGATTTCATTCTGGATTTCGTAAACTTTTCCTTCTGAAATGCCTTTAATCCTTAATTTAATGAATTGCTTAAATGTTCAGTTTAATCTTCTTCATGCTGTAGATGCTGTACAAAATTACTTTTAAATTTTTTGTTTGTTTTTCAAAAACAGTGTTAGAAATCAACCTTATAGTTGACCTAGAGGGCCTTGACTGACTTGGAAGGTTTGTGTAGCTGTTGATGCCTGTCTGCTAATATTGCTGTGCTGCTGCAGGTCTCTGTTGTAGATAGGCCAACTCTGCGGCATAATCTTTCTTTTAGCTAGAAATACTTGCCATAGGTCAGCCTTGCTGTTGTAATACTCTTTCAATTTAACTCCATGGGATAATTCTGTGTTTTGACTTGGTGCTGTTGGCTGTGTAAGGTCTATGGGTGCTAGTCATCAGCTGAAACCAATGTCTCACCACAGTACTTAATCTTTGTGAAAATGAGATTTTATTGGAGCTCTTCTGTTTCTGCTGCATGTACTGTTGCTCCTTCTGTATAAAAATAATTTATTTTTTTAAAAGAGAAAAATGTATTTAAAGTCTACTGATGCATTTCTAGTTCCATTATGTTTTATTATGGGATCTCCTGCTATGACATTGAGTAACAGTGTAATACTTGAGACCTTTTGTCTCCATAAAAAATAAAGAGCTTTTCATGGAGAATTTAATGGTATAGAACCCAAAGCCAGCAACAGCTCCGAGCTTTCCATGCTCATTGTTTATTCTCTTAAGATAAATCATTTGACTTTGAGTTTGCATTAGTGACAGATTAAGCTGCCAGTGTAAACATTGTAGGATTGAGAATCCTGAAAGATGTGTGTAGCTTTGTGAAGGAGCTAAGCCTGCAAGTATCCGGAAGCAATGTAATGTTCCGTGTGTTCAAATAATATTTTGCAATGTTCATGAGAAAAGGAAGTAAGTATTTAAAAAAAGTACTGGTGAAATGGTAACAGTTTATGATTCTTAATTTTTGTTTACTGAAAAATAATTCTTGACACATGGAGCTTTTACTGGAATTTACATGAAAAGTTGGAAGTAGGAGAGAGGCACTTGTGTTACTGTACAGCCAAAAAATGCCATTATTTATAATTGGGTAACCTTTCAATTTACTTTTGACAGTAGAATTGGGCTAGAGTGAAAATATTTTGGTTTTAAGTCTCTGAGTTTGGGGTCTATTCGTGAAACGCTAGACATCTTCAGTTTTTGAAAGAAATAGTAAGTAGTTCTCAGTTTCCTGCAACTTATGTCCATTTATTAAAAATGGAACCCATAAAATTTAGAGTTTGAAATTGTAATGTTCACCACCATTCTTCAAAATGCTTTTTCTTTCTTAGCCCTCACTGTCAAATTATCATTCTCTTTGTTAACACTGTGGGGATGATGACACAGATTTTGAACATAGGTCCATCCTGGGGGATGCTAAACCTTTGTAAAAGGGAGGGGCCAGCCACTGTTTACTTGACAAAACCAGCCTGGGTTAGGTGAACCTGCACATACAACCCGGAGAAATAAATTCATAGTAAAATGTAGTACTTGTGGCAGCACTACTGAATGCTGGGGGTTTTTTTTCCCTCTTCAATTTTTTTTTTCCCCCCACATGTAGACCCTGCAGACTTTTTGGTCAGTTCAATTCTCCTGTAACTTTAATTAGCAGCAAGTTATGCACTGAAAACTTGAGGAAAGCAAATTTAAAAAAAAAAAAAAATCTTTCCCTAACATAAATATAATTTGTTATGCAGCTTGGCATAGATCTTGGTCTTGCTGCAGAGCTAAGTAGAAAATTCTGTTCCCTGCTGCTTAGATGTTATGTTTGTAAGATCTTTGTTTCTTATTGTCTGTAAAAGTCTAATACGTCCTTGGTTAACGCTGATGTGCTTATGTAGCATGAAACACACGTTCCTTAACTGATTCAGATTTTTGAAGAGACTGTACTAATTTATGTGCTGAAGAAATAATTCTGATACTTGGATAGAGATCAAAATTTTCTTGTTACAAACAAAGTTGATGGAAACAAACTTTAACCAAAATTTATACCAATTACATATTTGTATTACAGAGCTTGGCAATAATGTTTAACTTGGCTACATTTAATAAAAACTTAATGGGTAAATTTAATGTTACTGAATTTTTTTGTTTAAGAAACTTGGTCAGTGTATAATCAGGTTTTACGTAAACTTCGTGGAAAACCAGGTTAATCTCATACAGATGTTAAAAAAAATTCTTTCAAAGGATCACTTTTACATGTTTGTGTGTAACAGGGCAAACTTAGTTGTGTTCTAACTGAAATAAAGTTTTTCGTACTATCTGGTATGAAAGGATAGTGCCAGAGGTGAAGGATGGTGAACAATGAGCCAGGTGAGTTGTCAGATACAGATGGTAAAAAGCAGATTTCAGCTTTCTCTGAATTATTGCATTAGATGTATTTAGCTGTCATTCCAACAGAACGATAAATTTAGCTGTAGCACAGTAATTGGCAATGAAGCTGACAACATTTGTTAAAGATTGCTGTCTTCTTTAAAGTAGGTTTGAATTAGACTATTTAGTTCAGGTGCTTTGAAACTGTGACTTATGATCTCTTTTATCCACTTATCCATTTAATCTATTAAAAAATTAGTTGTTGGTTCAAAAGGTTTAACATAATGAATTGAAAGCCATTTCTTCTTTGTGTCCTACTGAAAAATTTGACCAGACCATTTTGTTCATATTCCTGGGAAATTTGAAACGGTTCAGAATGTGTTTTGTTTCGTGTTCATTCTGAATTTAGATTTCTGTTTTTGTCTGAGGCTGATAGATCATTAAAATAGCTGCTTTTTCTTCACAGGCCTATGAAGAGTACACCAGCAAACTAGATGCTCTACAGCAGAGAGAACAGCAGTTATTGGAATCCATGGGGAATGGAACTGATTTCTCTGTCTCCAGTTCAGCTTCAACAGACACAGTTGCATCATCTTCCTCCTCTAGCCTCTCTGTAGCACCTTCATCCCTTTCGGTTTATCAAAACCCTGCTGATATGTCACGGAATAACCCCAAGTCTCCACAGAAGCCTATTGTTAGAGTCTTCCTGCCCAACAAGCAAAGGACTGTGGTGAGTCAGTTTCTATTCACATACTTGTAACCTCAATATTTCCTGTATCTCTCTCTCTCTCTCTCTCTCTCTCTCTCTCTCTCTCTGTATGCAAAAGTTCATTTAGGAGCTGGAAAAATACCTGTGTGGAGGTCAAAGAGGTAGCACAATCACTACTTGTGCTCTGCCACACTCAGTAGTTTTGATGTGTTGGATATTTTCTAGAGGATTAACACAAAGATGTCCATTATAGCAATAATACAGAATACAACACTTTCAGGAGTTTTAGAACAATGAAAATACCTGAAGAAATATTTTTCTCAAATCAGCTTTCTTGGTTAAATAGTAATACACCATTTTACAATGGTTAGTAGGGGGCAGGAAGCTCTGTTTCTTGTATTATACAAAATTATTGGTTAGTTTAACAGGGTAAGATTGGAGAAAATAAGTGTTTTCCATGTTGTCAAAGTTACTAGCAGCAGTGAATGCTTTACAGCAAGTACCAGCCTCCTGCAGCTAAGGAGGGCTGCACAGAATCGCTTGGGTGTTTTTTTTTTCTTTTCCTCCCCACTCAGTGGTGAGTGTTTCATGTTGGGACCCTGATGCTGTCAGGCCCTGTGTAGAGAACTGGCTAGGGGAGGGACATAGTTGTTATTGGAAGGGGCAAGAAGTGTTGCCTGCAAACTGCTAAAAAACTGGTGTTTATCAGTTTTGACAATGTTACAGCAATTCCTGGAGTCATGGAAGAAGAGTCGACTTTTTGCAGGCTATTTAATTGTCTGTTATAGGTGGCATTTTTTTATCAGTTAAGAGCTGCCTACTGAAGAGCCTTGATATGTGCTTTAGAACAATACACTGCAAACTGTGATACATGAAATTACTCACAAGCCATAGTCTAGGCTCTGGTTTGCAAGGCAGTGCATACTCCTCATTTAGAAGGGAAGCTGTGGTTCCAGAGAAAGTGGGAAATGAATGGATAGCACAGCCAGTGTCCATGTGAAATCAGTCCTTTTCATAGCACTTGGCCAGGTATTGGCTGTCACTGGACTGTGACTGCCTGTGGAAACTGAGTTGCTGGCAAAGAGAAGAAAACATAAACTGAGTAGGGCTGGGCATTGGAAACATGTCCCTCTCCCTTCCCCTGCCACTTTCCTTCCATGCCTCCCTCCCCCCACCCCACCAAACAAAAGAGATCGTAAGATTTATAGTGGGAACAACAGATTAAAGGGCAGTTGTCTTCACCTGATTTTTTTTTTTTTTTAATATTGCTTAATTGTTAAAGATACTGCTAAAGATTGAAAGTAGTATTTGGTTTTTGACCTGGAGAATGGGGTTTTAATGTAAACTGGCCACTGTGCAGATGTACAGTGTTAAGCAAGGTGATTTTGTTGTCTGCCTGTGCGGTATGGCTAGGCACATGGTATTACCCACATTGTGAAATTTGGAGACACTCTGGTTTCTTCTTCATGCCTTCTGTCCCGCCCTGTCTGGCTATAGTAGCCTCAGCCCCTGTTGATGGGGGCTGTCCCACAAGTTGTTTTTGTTTTTTCTACAATGGGTCACAGTATATTGCTTCCTGCATTGTTCTGTGCATTTCCTTTTCTGTCTCTTCTATGTGTTATCTCATCCTCTTCTCTAAGCCATATAGTATATTTCCACTCTTTTTTCTCCTCATCTGCAATATCCCTCTTCTGCTCCTTTCCCTCTCCTCTTTTTCACCTCCTCCTCAAACCTTTTATCAGAGGCGTGGTAAGGCTTTTCTCAAGTCTGAGCTCTGTTTTGCTTTTGGAGGAATCATTTTATATAAAGAATTGTTTATAATTATGAAATATACTACATCAAACTTGTAGGGAAGAATGAATTTTTTTATGTTCAAATGTGTGTGTTTCACCAAGTTTAAGTTATTTCTGAATATGCAAATCTGATTACAAGTTAGGAAAAAGAGGCAACTGAATTTCGGTGTGAACCAGGTGGTACAATTTTGGGCCAGTACAGAACTGTCTTGCCTCATCTGAGACGTGGTTTTGTGCATGTTGCTAGTCCATTCTAATCAAAGTAAAACAGGTTGTCTTCAGCCAATACATCTTTAAGTTCTTAAGTGACAGCAACATATCAGCTTGGTATGCTCAAAAACGTGTGTGAGACACTGCTTTCCCGGACTAGTATTTCTTCTCACTTTTATCCCTAAGCTTTGGGTTTTTTGGTCAATGTTGTGATTCTGTGATATCAGTCATGCTCATTAGGAGCTTGCAGATTTAACCAGAGGGATTAAGTTCAAGAATGCCAGCTTGTCTGTTGCCATCTCTTGACTAACAGTTAACTTTCTAGCTTGAGGACCTGCTGTCATTTGATAAGGTGATTGTAACACTTAGCAGTAGTACTCAGTGACTGGCAGCAGGGCAATAGGAGTTTTTTCCAGCACTGAATCTAGATGCTCTTTCCTGGCTATGGGAGGCAAATGTGGTTTAAGTTGGGTGTATTCAGGGAGAGGCTCTTCCTTCTGTCTCCAGCTCTCCACTGGAGTCTAAACACCATTTTCCTTACCAGTCTAGCCCTGCAGCTTGTTTCCAGCTTGCTGAATGTGGGACACTAAGAGTAGAGCTTCAGGAAAATCTGTAGTCTTGTGCTGTGGTAATAAATAAAAAATAAAAATAATTTTTAAAAAAAGTGTAACTGATAAAAGAGTAGGAGACAGGCTAGTGGTGGGGGAAAGGTGCAAGTCCCTTTAGTCTCAAATCTGGTATAAGTGTGTCTGTAGATGCACTTACATAAAGGAACAGACAGATACCTGCAGATGCAGGGAGGCATGAGCTACACGTATGGAATTGCTGGCTGGAAGCTCAGGTTGATAGGATTCGGCTTCATATGCTGTATAGCAAGGTGGAAGTCAGCTCCAGTTCTGCTAGGAGAGACCCAATTTTGGTTGAAATTGTTATTCTAAATAAGCAATTGGAAATACTCAGGTCTGGTCAGCAAATAACTGCAAATTAATGGTTCTGGTTCAGCTTCAGCTCAGGGAGAGAGCTGACTTCTTTTTACCTCAGTTTTATACGTTGCTTGGATCTAGTTATCTTACTAAGTTGAACTTCTTTTTTTTTTTAAATAGACCTAGTACATTATCTCTGTTTTAGAACTGGGAAATGGTGCTTATAGGAACTCCGAGTGTTGGGGTTATTGGCCTTGCAGTTGAAGTTCATTTCTCTGAAACTTGAAACAGTGCTCATGTTATTGAGAAAGTCAGGAATTTCTTGTATGGCGATTCTTAATGTAGTTACTCTGTTTTCAATATTTATTGATTCTACACGTAGTCTGTTGAAAACTAAGGAAATTCCAGAAGCAAACCCAGTTCAGAAGGAATTACAGCTTACAGTGCAGTTTTAGCTGCAAGTAGTCAGATGATAGGCTACCACCCAGCAGTTTTCAGTGAATACTGAGATTACTTGCTGTAGTACACTTCCTTCGTTCTCTCAATGGATAGAGAAGTGTTGCACATGTCTTGGTCTTCCTTCATAACCTCTGTCTTGGTCTTCCTTCATAACCTCTGGCTTTAAAAACAGACCTGTCCTGTCTCACTTGTGCCCATTAACTGAGCCATTTCCTTATGTAGCCATAATGGCAGTTTACGGTTTTCAAATATACACAATAGCTTCAGATGTGGTGGGTTGAAGTAGGAAGGAGATCCCTTGTGAAAATACATGATACCTGCCATTAGCGTCTCCCCCTGCCCAAGTCCCCATTCCATATGGCTGTTAAAGTGAGGATAAAATGTGTCCTACAACCAAGCATGTAGCTGGGAGAGGAGAGGTGCTAAAGTTGCGGTGTTGCAACAAGCTTCCCCCCCACCCCAACCTTAACTGCTTTCAGTTAATGTCTACTTCTGAAAGAAATATTTTTTAATATCACAATAATATTTTCAGTCTCTACTGCCAACCACAGACCCACTTCAGGAGGCGAGAAATCTTGTCAGATACTAGGGAGTCTTTGTTTATTTTTATTTGGGAATGCAATGACAGTTCTTAATTCCAGTCACTTTAAATTAAGTCAGTTTAAATTGGTAATGGAGAACCAACCTCATTTATCTTTGATCATGCCCTGAAGCGGTCCCAAGTACTACAACAGCCTTCTGCTACTTGTTTAGAACTGTTAAAAATGCAGGAAATGGCGCGGTGGGGGGGAGATGCTTACATTTTTGACTAGCAACTGCCTTGTTACTTGAAAGTCGTCTACATTTTTTTGTTTATTAGTAGTATTGTTTGTGCGTAGGATCAGGCAAATACATCTGTTTGAGTTGGCTCCAGTTAGAAATATAATGTGAGGAAGCTGATGGAGTACAAAGAAATAAGACCATGTTGATCAGTGTATGTGATTTTGGTGCATAGGTAGTGTAGCTAATGTCAAGTTTGTTTGTATGTGTCATGATAAAGCAGAGTGTTGGATAGAAAGTTTTTCCTAATGTAGGAAAAGGTGTGAACGTGCTTCCTTGAAAGCTTACCCAGTAAGTGGTGGAGCCTACTGCTGCTGATCAATTAGCAGTTGAAGTCAGCATCTTGATTCAGTGGGCGACACAGCAGGGTTAGAATGTAACTTTTTTTGAAAGGAAAACCAAGGTTATCCCCATAATGCAGAGAGAAATATCTGAAATACGTATACTTCTTTCCTCAGTAGCATGGTTCAACTGGGAAGTTAAACGTCCTTTGGAGAAGCATTCTGCATAGGTGTGACCAGGATAAGTCTGTGTGGGGTTTTTTTTGTTTTGTTTTGTTCTAGGCCGGAGAAGGATGTTGAAATAATAAAAGTGCAATATGGTAAAAGTCTACCTGAGTTTGTCAGTTATTTTGCAGAACAAATCAGTGAGGCTTATCCAAACTGTGGGTAGGGAGAATGTAGGGAAAAATTAGTTTAAAGCTTGTTTGGATTAGGGATCTAAATGGCTGTGGGGTGGATAGTAACAAAACCGCTAATTAAAGGAGAGCTTTTGGGTGGGAGAGGGCGGTAACTCTGACCTTGAGTTGGCTGCTGGA